AACCTGCCCCTGTGAGCTGGGCAGGTCAACCTAACCTACCTTTCCGAACTTTGGTTTCCTTACCTGGAAAACGGAAGTAATAATCGTAGTTAGTGAGTAAGCGACAAAGCTGGCTTGATCTGGCCCTCAGGTGTTCAGTCTATGGTAGCGTTGTTCTCTGAGAGATATGGAATGCAATGGGGCACAACTCTGAACCCCTCTTCGAATTAGAATAACAATAATAGCTAATGCTTTACATTGTACCCATGCTGTGCCTGGTGCAGTTCTTAGTGGATTGTGCCTGTCAGTTAATGTAGTCCCCACAACAGCACTGAGGTAGAAGATACTCTTATTATCCTTGTGTTACACATGAGGACATTGAACACAGGCTATCACAGCCAGTCTGTCCTCAGTCTCTACTCTCCGCTGCCTCTCCCAGAGCACCCTTTTTTGTAAAATACCTTAAGGAAGAGCTTTTTTGTTTCAAACTTACTCACCTTAATGGCAAGTGAGTTTCCTGTGTTGACTGTACGAAGACTGGAGGGCCTCCTGACTGAAGACGTTGGGAGAGTTGGTCAGGACCAGAAGTTCTGCGGATTATCTTTTTTTTTTTTTTAACTTAAATTTATTGGGGACATTGGTTAATTGGGGACATTGGTTAATAGGGTCATATAGGTTTCAGGTGTGGATTTTATGTTAACAAGATCTGTACATTGCACCACCCAAAGTCAAATCATCTTCCGTCACCATATATTAGGCCTCCTTCACCACCCCACCCACACCCTGGGTTATCATTTTAAGGGGGAAGCCATACACTTTCTGAGTTTGGTTTAGCATGTCACCTCTCATTAGATTTGAAGCAAATCTGGCCTTTTAGGTATTGGGGGGTGCATTGGGGGTAATGAAAAGACATGCAGGAGCCACTGTTAGGCACTGGTTTCTAGGGGATCTTGTATGTTACACATTTTCATTACTCTCCATCTATAGCCAAAAACTGAACAGAATTGGCATGCCCTTGGTGTTTAGGACTAATATGCTAATAATACCACATGGATCATTTCAGTCCTCTCAAAAACTCCTTCAGGATAGGCCAAGAATTGTGACATTCTGTTCTCCCTGTTGTGAAAGTGAATCATTGAGGGTGGGAGAGAGGGTGGAACAGTCAGAGAGCAGGTGAGTAGC